AACCACGCACTACCACCATGGGACAACATGGGGGCACCACTCATCAAGGAAACTATGGCGCTCCTGGAAAAGTATTCGTCATGAGCCGCACTCAAGCCGACCTCGGGAACGAGAACAATCTCGAGGAAGGAAACCCAACCCCAGAAGACGAGGACCACGCAGACCCCGTGGGAGAAAGCCAAGAAAACGAATTCTGTCTGGGATAAGTCGGTGATTTCTTTGTAATCACCTTCGTAGTAGAACTACTTACTTAGCTTAATTACTTGGAAATATTATAAATAAAAGATTAGTTCGAAATTCGGTTCTATTTACGGGGGGGTAGAACTAAAACTATACAAACTAGCCAAACCTCACCACTAAAAGCCGAAATAAGAAAAAAGACAAGGGCCCCATCATCAAAAAGCTTAATGTTACCAATCAGAATTGAACTCTTGACCTCCCACTTATAAGACCAAGGTCTTAACCACTAGGCTAAAGGTGTTTCTTGAAACCTCAAGGGAACACTCCCTTGTTAAAACTCCACAAATCCCTAAAACCCACAAAATCCCCAAATCAAAAACACTCCTTCTCCTTCCCCTTCTTCTTCTTCTTCCCCACTTCCTCCCCTTCCATCTCTCACGCACCTCACCATCCCCACCATAGAAACACCGCCAGCCACCCGACGTCGCTGCCAGCCGAAAGCCGCCGCTGTCAGACCACCTCCCGCCAGCACCGTGCCGCCGCACCAACGCCCCGCCACTTCGCCCGGAGGACACCCAGCCGCCACCCAGCTACCACCCGCTGCCCCCGTTGCCCAACACCACCACGACGCCCTCCCCTCGTTGCGCCAACACCGAAACCGCCTCACCGCCACCTCCCTCGCAAACGGAGACCACACCACCAAGGAGCTCGCCGGAAAGCACGCCGGAGCCCCGTCACCGTCTCGCCGGAAAAGCCACCGGAGAATTCTTGCCGGAAAACCTCGCCACCAAGAAAAGCTCCGCAATGCCGAAAAAGCCCCTTGGAACCCGCACACCGGAATGGAACAACGCCGATTACACCGTAATCGGAGGGAAAGCCCTTGAACTCGACCAATTTTCTCCGGAATTGGTTGATATGCTTAAACACCAAGGTCTCCTAGATACATACCTCACCATCAAGGGGGACACGTACCCCGAATTGGTGAAAGAATTTTATCAACATCTTATAGCCACCAAACGGGGTGACAAACTAGAAATTACCACCAAAGTCCGCGGCAAGGAAATTGTGCTTTCCGAAGGCCGACTGGCCAAGCTCTTGAAATTGACCACCACGGGTGTGTCTAACTACGACCGAAAGGGGTGGATAAATACCCAAAACATGGGGTACAAGGACTATCTCGGGTACCTACTCGGGAGAGAGGACGGGTTCACCTCGGCTACGCGACCGAACCGAAAGTGGCTATCGACGGAGCAAAAGATATTGGTTATGATTGTGACCGATAGCCTCTTGCCCACCAATAACAAGAGCAAGGACGTGGGGAGCTTAGAGTGCACTTTTGCCTATCTCCTGAAACATAAAATCAAGTTCAACCTGCCGGCACTCATGCTAAAACACATGGAGTTTTGCAAGACAAACAACCGGCTTAGCCTACCCTACGGGATGATCCTAAGTTGGATCATGGAGAAAAAGGGGGTGGACCTAAGCCACATCGAGGTCAAGACCGCAAATGGCATGGTCTTTAACGCCCAGAACCTACGCCGCAACGACATCTACTACACCGAGGGAGGACATTACCTCACCCTCGAAGAAATTTGCCAAAAACCCGAAGATGAACGAAGAGAATTGGTCGACCAATTAGAAATCTCCAAGAAGAAGCTCAAACGGGCAATGTAGGATTGCGGAATTCTGGAGGGAAATGAGGACCAGGAGGAGGATGACGAACCCAACCCGTCAGTGCAACCACAATCGGGAGGGAACCCAAGGGAGCAAAACGAGGGCTCAATCAATGAACGCATACTCGCGCAGCTCAACCGGCAAAGCCAAATCATGGAGGAAGGATTCTCATCCCTGAACCGTACGACACGCGCACTAGATCAGAGGGTGGTAGCCATCGAGGCCACCTTGGGCACTCGCGGGGCATCCAGCTCAGGAGCAGGAGACCGAGGTAGACCTAAAACCCTTCTATCACAACGCCACCAGAAATCCAGTCTACCCCAGCTAAAGCAAAACGTGGGGCCACATTCCTAACTGGGAGGCCAAGATATGGGAAGCCTAGGGGTGAAAGAGTGGATTAACACACCGGGCTTCGGGGACGAAGCCCCTCGTAAGGGGGGGAGAGTGTAACACCCCGTGTTACGATCCCTAAAATCAATTAAATCATTTAGCCAATTACCCAAAGAAAGAATTAAATCACAATAATTAATTAGGAAATGCCCACCATAGTCCACGGGCCCTTATCCCTAAACCCAACCCTTAGTCCCAAAAGGAATAGAATTAGCAAGCCTATAATATTAGTTCCTAATTAGGACTCCTAAATATATAAATAGGGGACTTAAGAGGCACCTAGAAACCCCCCACCACAATAACGTCCCACCACCCCAAAGAGCTCCAAGAATTCCCTTAGAAGAAATCAAGAAAGCAAGAAAGCTTAAAGAAAGACCCTTCATAGCCAAGGAATTAATTAAGGCTAAGAGGTAACCCATGTCTCAACAAAACCTATTTTCTTAGTTATGATTCCCCTCTTAGGATTTCCCCATATTATTGTGTATTGATGATTTGTGATATTATTATTGATGATTGGTGGGATGATTTCCATGGGTGATCTTGATGATGAAAGGTTCTTGATAATTGTGGTGTTCTTGATGATTATATGACGTTCTTGATAATCACATGGTGTTCTTGATGATCTTAATGATTATATGAGGTTCTTGATAGTTATATGATATTCCTACCGAATCTTGATTTTGGAAGATGAATTGTGTTCTTGTTGATTTAAAAATAATTAGAACCCTAGGTTATATCGTGGAATTCGTATGGTATTATTCTTGGTATATTGGGTGGGATTTCGCATGATTGGGTGTTCATTATGTTTAGAAAAGCATGATAGGTTATGTGCCGTTTGTTTCTTGATTTTGATCCGTTAATTGTCTACGTGTGTTATCAATTGCGTTTGAAAGTGTCTAAGCATGGTTTCGGGTTCCACAAAGGTTCCCGGGGCGTTTTTGGTGAAAAGAGTCAGTGGGGGGTAGGTGGGGGTAGGGGACCCGCCACCTACCCGCGGCCAAAAGAGGAGTTCCGGCAGCGGGCAGCCGGCGGGCGGGCAGCTGCCCGCCGAGTACCCGCTGCCCGGAACAGTAAACACCGGCGGGCAGCCGGCGGGTGAACCCCCACCCACCGGCTACCCGCTGGAAATTCCCACCCTTCGGGACCCCGGCTTCCCGGTTTGATGTTCCCCCGACCCCCGTGGTGTCCCACCGGACTCCGTCTATCGTGCCTATGTCTAGTTTGATTTTTGGGTACCGTTCGTAGGTTGTATGAGTCTTATATATTGCATGCTAGTTGAATTGGTATCCCGTTGACCTTGGTGAAAGAAGTATGAACCCCTTAGGACTATTCTAAAAATGTGAAGGATCACGCATAGGTTTTGTTATACGTTTTCTCCCCCTTCCCAATGTGCTAATATGGGCTGCATGTGCTTGCTATATGTTATGTGTGCATGTTACCCCGACTTGGTTGAGATCAATCGGGCTATACGGGCAGTCGGATGGGCTGAGAACCATACCGGCTGTTAACCAGGCTGGTAGAGACCGGTCAGGTATATAAATATTATATAGGACTAAGGTCCACTATACGGGCAGTTGAATGGGTTGAGAACTATCCCAACTGTTAACCAGGCTGGTAGAGACCGGTCAGGTATATAAATATTATATAGGACAAAGGTCCACAATACGGGCAGTTGAATGGGTTGAGAACCATCCCAACTGTTAACCAGGCTGGTAAAGACCGGTCAGGTATATAAATATTATATAGAGCTGCGGCTCATCGGTCGGTTGCGATCGACCCCTCCGTAGTATGAGACGGGGCAGGGTGCTGCGGGGCCGTGTCAGAGCTATATGCGCTGACCCTCATGTATGGGCATGCGATTGGTCCTGTGGCGCCAACAAAGTGTGCTATATGATGAGATAAGAAGGGTTGATGTTGTGACTGTTATAGGGCTCTTGCTAGTAATGCTTAATTGTGACTATTAGTTGTGCTTATCTATGACTGTTTCCTATGTGAGAATCGTATATGCCGATTATGACTGTAGATTGTGTGTACCCCTATTTGTCGAGTCGGTCCCCTGATTTGAAAGCTAGAGTCTCTTAAGGTATATCATCATGCTTCAAAATGACTTTTCGTATATCTATATATATATCTATATGTATTGTATTTCAACGCGTTGGAGTGGGTTACTAACATCTCTCGCTGAACAGATATATTTGGCTTTCAGGCACAGAAGAGTAGGTCACTGGTGCGCGCTAGAACTTGGAGCGTAGAAGTAGATAGCTTCCCTTTCGGCCTGCGTGCCATGTTTATGCGTTTACATTATCGAGGATATTAGTTAGTTAGCCTGTGCACCTGAGTTCTCTAGCTCAGGAGTGGCATAGCACCCCGTACTCTTGTATTATGTTTTGGGATTTAATGAGATTTCACCTTTATTTTATGGGTTTTTAATATCTTGAAAATCTGGGTGTTACATGTTAGCACACCAAAAATACGATTGGGATAAGGAAGCTTAACCTTTTGCTCTCTTGGATAAATCAAGGTGAGGAGATGAGAGAAGATCCATTTCCATAAATTAATGGTCATCTTGGTGCCAACTCGATACAGAAGTGCAGCTAGAGGCTTACTGACTGTATAAAAATGTGGAAATGGCAACCAGTTGTGCAAAGAAATCCGGTGGAGGATAACAAACTTGGAGGTGAATTATGAATTGGACAAGGTATCATTATCTCCAGTTGGCCATTCAGACACCAGTCCTCCAGTGAGGGTCTTAGCAACTAGATCCCAGTCGAAGTAATTTCATCTTCGTCAACTGTCTTCAATCCATAATACTGGTTGATTGCATCAGGCCCAAACACATACCAAGTACCCCTAATGAAGATTTGCATACACCTCTTGCTAGTCAGATCGTTAATCTCTTCATTAAGGTTGCAGTAGAATTCATAAGTGAGCAGCTTCGAATAGCCACATACAGATGTCACTGTCTTTAGCAAACCAACCTCATGCAGAAGGGGCAATACATCACATACTGAATTCAGCTGATTCTCATCAACTGATCTCTGTACAATCAGCTCTCGTTTCACCATCGTAGACCATTTGTCTTGGGCAGCATCAGAGACAAATTGTAGCTTATAAACAGAAGTATCAGGACTCTCTGGAACTTCAATAGGAGCATTCTGTACACCAGGGGTAACACTTCTTCTTCTTGGCTTTGTAACAGCTTTTATTTTTCTGTTTTTTGTTGATGGAACAACTGGAGGAGCTTTACCTTTGACAGACGATCGCAGGTTCTTGAAAACTTGTCTGACTGGTGGATCACTTTCAACTTTCCCAGATTCAGCCGATCATCTTTTCTTCTCTGGCTGGGTAGACTTTGTAGGCTCATCACTAGTATCCACAACAACATTCTCTGAAACCCCCTTTCTCTTGGATTTCCGACTTTCTTTGACAGGTGAGCTCTTTGTAGGACTTGGGGACACAGAATTGCTGGTCTCAGACCCATGGACAGTAGAAGAGGTTAGAAGCTTGGTGACTTCTCTGATTTTGAAAGTTGTTGAATCTGGGTGAGCTATCTCTGCCACTAGAGACTCATTTGGATAAGAGGATGGAGCCTTGGAACCATATACTTCAGCCAGAATTTTTTCATCATCACTGTCTGTTGGAATAGAAGGATCATCCCTTGGTCATATCATTTTGTAGGGCTCAGGTACTGAAGCAGAAGGTAAACCCGCAAAGTGGCGAATATGTTCTAGGCTCTCAGCCAGACTGGAAGATGTATAAACAGGAACACCATCAACAGACTCATAAGGATGAGGGCTTTCTGACTGTTCAGAGAGGGGAACAACAGACTCCTTATGTGGATTTTTCAATCGGACAATTTTCAACAGAGGGCTTATCAGGTATTGTGGATCCAGGGTCAACAGGAATAACAATACGATCAACATCAGAGGTTAAAAAAACTAGTCTTGACTCATCAATATGATCAGACTTTGGGAGAATGTCACCAGATTCAGGCACAACAACAGGTTTTGCAGACTTAGATATTTCAACAGTAGACAACGGGGGCGGAACACCAGATACATTAAACTTAGCAGGCAATAAGAGCTCTAGAGATTCCAGATTAATATCAGACTTCTCAGTAGGTAGATAAGACTCAACATCAACAGATTAAGACTCAGTAGGCTTATCAGGGGAAATTTCAATAGGAGTATCAGAAGTGTTTGACATGTTTTGCAGAGATTCTCTTCGTCGCTGAGCTTCCTCCTGGGCTGCTTGAAGATACAGAGGATGAGAATCTGCCCGTCGTCGAGAAATTTCTTCCCACTCCAAAGCCCTCTGTGCAAAGTATTTGAGGAATGCCCCTGCTCGAATCCCATCCTCTGGTACATCAATGGTGGCTGGACTGATGTCATCATCTGCTTCAGAAGCCATCACCAAAAGATTGTATATATCTTCATTTGACCAGTGTTCATAGAACTCCAGATAGTCAGATATCACTGTGACAAGGATTTTGTCTAGAAAAACAGGGTCCAACTTCAGTTTCTTCTTCAGCGCTAGCTAGAGAAACGTCTTCACATGCTTTAGAGCACATTCTGGTGAGTGATTCTTCCTTCCCAACTTGATTATTATGTGCATCACCGCATCGGCCACGTCTGCTAAATTTTTAAGAGAGAGTGAGATAAACCTTAGGCAGAGATATTTGGGAGATGTTTGACGCAGAGAGCAGAGTTGAATTGGGATTTCTTTTGCGTCTAAGGGTGATCATAAGGGAGATATAATCCCAAGGGTGAGTGTAACACCCCGTGTTATGGTCTCTAACCCAAACTAATTATTTAATTACTTACCCTTAAAAGAGAATTAAATTCCCTTAATTAATTAGGAAGGGTCGATCATAGACCATGGACCCTTATCCCTAAACCAAACCCTTAGTCCTATAAGAAATAGAATTAGTAAGCCCATACCATTCAGACCCTAATTAGGACTCTTAGATATATATAAGGACATAGGAGGCACCTAGAATTCACACCACAATAGATTCCACTACACAAGAATTCCCCAAGAATTCCCCTATCACCAAACGTAGGAGAAATCAAGAAGAGGAGATCTTAGTTAAAAAACCTTTATAGCCAAGGATTCTAAATTAAGGCTAAGAGGTAACCCATGTCTCAACAAAACCTATTTTCCTTGCTATAATCTTCTTCTTTGGCTCCTTCTCTATGCTTGTGTCTTGATAAATCTTTTATGATGATTATGATATGATCTTGATGTTGATGAGATGATCTTATGTGTAGTTCTTGATAATCTTGATGATTATAACAGGATCTTGATAATTGTGTGTTGATTCTTGGTAAATCTTGATGTTCTTGATTCTAAATATAAGGTATGATTTTGTGATTTAAATATGATTAGAGCCCTAGGTTGAATTGTGAATTTCGGATTGTGATATTCTAGGTATATTTGGGTGGGAATTCGCATGTTTGGGTATTGATTATGTTGAGAAGTCATGTTAGGATGTGTTCAATGTGATTCTTGGTTTGGATCCGTTATTTGACTACGTGGTGTTGTCGTTTGCGTTTAAAAGTGTCTAAACATGGTTTCGGGTTCCACAAAAGATCCTGCCACCTACCCGCTGCCCCGCCGGGCACCCGCTGCCCAGCATCTCGTCGCCGGCGGGTAGCCGGCGGATGGAGGACCACCCGCCGGCAACCCGCTGGAAATTCCAAAGTGGGAAGATGGTTTTCCCCGTTTGATGTTTCCCCGACCCTCGTGGTGTCCCAACAGACTCCGTTTATCGTGTCTGAGTCTAGTTTGATGTTTTGGGTACCATTCGTAGGATAAAAGAGTCTTATGTATTGCATGCTAGTTGAATTGGTATCCCGTTAACCTAGGCGAAAGATGTATGAACCCCTTACGATTATTCCTAGTATGTGGATGACTACGCATAAGTTTATTATACGTTTTCTCTCCCCTTTCCCAATGTGCTACTGTGGGTTGCATGTGCTTGCTATGTGTTATGTGAGCATGATACCCCAATTTGGTTGCGATCAAATTGGCTATACGGGTAGTTGGATGGGTTTAGAACCATAACAACTGTTAACCAGGCCAGTTGCGATCGGTCAGGTATATAAATATTAAATAGGGCTATGGTCCACCGTTTGATTGCGATCAAACGTTTTACATGAGCTGCAGTTCATAATCTGGTTGTGATCAGAAATACACTTTTGGGCTGCGGTCCACCGCTTGGTTGCGATCAAATGTTATGATGAGCTGCAGTTCATCGGTTGGTTGTGATCAACCCCTTCTTGTTGTGATACGAGGCAGGGTGCTGCGAGGCCGTGTTAGCTCTTTATGCGCTGACCCTCATGTATGGGCATGCGATTGGTCCTGTGGCGCTACCAAAGTGTGCTTATGTGTTGAGATAATGATGGAATAACGATATGAATGATGTGAAATAATCTTGTGACCTTAGGATATATGCTAGTATCTTGATATGCATGATTATACTGTTGAATGTGCTTGTCTCTACTTCTTGCGTCTATTCTCAGTTTTTAAAACTAGATTCTCCTAGTATATATCTTCCGGCTTCAAAATGGTTTTCTATATCTATATATACCTATATTGTATTTTAACGCGTTGGAATGGGTTACCAGCATTATTCACTGAACAGATATATTTGGCTTTCAGGTTCAGATGAGTAGCTCCGGAGCGCGCTAGAGGACCGATGCTTAGATAGATAGTTTTCCTTTCGGCCTGCGTGTCATGGTGATGTATTGACATTGCTTTGAGGATATTTAATTAGTATAGCCTGTGCATCTGAGTTCTCCAGCTCAGATGTGGCATAGCACCCCAAACTCTTATGTTTAGTATGCTCTGTTTCGGGATTTAATAATAGAATTACCTTCCTTTCATAAGCATTTAAAGTTTTAAATTTTAGGGGTGTTACAGTTGGTATTAGAGCCTAATTTTGACCCTAGGATAAGACTCTTAAGACAAGACTTTAGGTCATTAAGCTTGAACTCTCGGTATTTAGGAACATAGGATTCAGGAATCGTTGGACGCGCGGTGAGATTGTTAGCCCACCTATCACTACATAACTTCCCCCTCACTCTATTCTACACTTAATTTAAAGAACTTCCCCTACGCTTATCGCATCAAGGTAAGGGTGCAACACATTGGCCCTGTAGACCATCGGCGTGGCACCAAACAGAAGGCAATCAAGAACCCCCGAACCCACCACTCACGATCCTCTGGCTCAGACTCTACAACAACTAATTCAGGTCACCCAGACACTGAGCGACGTAGTTCTCCGTAATAACAACCGACCACCACCACCGCCGAACGGGAACTCGGATGTCGCTCGGCAAGTCTCAAATCATCGGCCACCCATCTTCTCGGGGGAAGAGGACCCCGTAATCCTCGAAGAATGGATTCGAACCCTCGACAAAATCCTCGGGTTAGTGGAATGCCCAGAAGAGTGCCGCGTAGAATTAGCCTCGTTCTACTTCGGACACGAGGCCGACCTCTGGTGGATTCACGAGGGACCCACTTACAGACAAGAACCAGGATTCAACTGGGAAAGTCTAAAGACACGACTACGAGAACGGTTCTACCCTGCACACGTAAGAGCAACCATGTACGAGGAATTCCTCCACTTAAAACAAGGGATGCCCACTCTCATGGAGTACCACAAACGATTCCTCGAACTAGCCTGTTTCGCACCTAAATTGGTCCCTACAGAGACGACCAAGATAGAAAGGTTTGTGTCGGGCCTCAACTTCGAAGCCCGAAAAGCCCTAATCGTAAGCGGACCCCGAACCCTCAACGAAGCTTACTCCAATGCCGCCAACCTCTATCGAATCCAACTACTACAACGTGGAGTCCAGGAACAGATTCGTAAAAAGGAACACGGGAGGAACACAAGGCCAAGTAACCCAGCTGGCCAAGGGCCACCCCCGAGAAACAACGAAACTAATACGAGGCCCTTCCTTTGCCGAAAATGCAACAAAGACCATAGAGGCACGGACTGCATGGGAAACCCCTGCCGATGCTTCAATTGCGGGGGAGAAGGACACAAGTCCTTCCAGTGCACTCAACCCCCTAACTCGCGCCCTACAATCATGGGCCAACACGGGGGCGCAAACAATCAAGGGAATTACAGTGCTCCCGGAAAAGTATTCGTCACGAGCCGCACTCAGGCCGATCTTCATAACGAGGGAAACTTCGACGAAGAGAACGTGGCCCCAGGAGACGAGGACCTTGCAAATCAATCAGAAGAAAACCAGTGGGAAGAATTCTGCTTAGGATGATCAATGAACCCCCCCCCCCCCCTTGTAAACCACCCTCGTAGTAAAACCACTTGTTTAGTTTAGTTACTTAGAAATTATTATGAATAAGAGACAAAGTCAATTAAATTAGCATGAAAAGCGGGACTAAAACATCCCTCATGAACCCAAGAGTCGCAAGATCAACACACAATGGGGGCAAAAAAAAGTTCAACAAGGAGAACCGGTCAAACCTCTTACCACTTTGGGTCAAAAGGAAGATAAGAAAAGATCCAAGGGATGCACAACAAAGAATATTAATGTAACCAATGGGGATTAAACGCCAGACCTTCTACATATAAGTCCAAGTTCCTAATCACTAAACTATGAGTGTTTCTTGAAACCTCAAGGGAACACTCCCTTCTTAAACCCCTCTAAATCCCTAAAACCCACAAAATCCCCAAATCAAAAACCCTTCTTCCTTCTCCTCCCTCTCACTCTCTCTCTCCCTCCCTCTCTCTCACCACGCCGCCGGCACCACCCAAGCACAGCATAACCCATCCCACCAACAGCCACCACCAAGCAAACCACCATCAACCGCCCACGCAACCTGCCTCTGCCGCCCGGTAGCCACCCACGACGAGAACCGCTGCCAACAACGCCCAAAAGACCGCCCATCACTC